GTTTCTGCTTTATAACAAAGTGAATCAGTTACACATATACATATGTGTAACTGATTCACTTTGTTATAAAGCAGAAAGTAACACACCATTGTAAAGCAATTATACCCCAATAAAGATGTTTAAAAAAAAAAAAAAAAGGGCACAGTAAATGCTGTGAAACCCCTAAGGCTCCTCATTCACAAATGTCAACACACTGCCAAAGAGCACTGTACTTTAGACATAAAATATTTTAAACAGCTGTCTGAATTCATACTTGCACATCGCATACGGACTATAAAACTTCTAAAGAAAGGTGTGAAGACCAAGAAAGGCAATATGCTTCTACAGACCAGATTTTCCCTGTCACATACCTTGCTGAAAATATGCTCTTAAAATTAGCAGAAAGCCCAAGTTCAAGCTTCAAAGTGCCCACAGCCACAGACACAGTAGCTCTAAGCTAAAGATCCCCAAAGGTTATTTTTCTCCGAAGTCAGTCATTTTTCAAAACTAAGATAATGCCAGCTGTTTGCAAATCATTTTCCATCTTTCTAAATCTTTAAATTACATATAACATTAATAAATACTTTAATTCTAAGAGGTTAAGATAAACTGGATGAATTATGAAGGAAGTCAGACAGTTTGGTTGAGCCAATTTTGGCAGGACATAATTTAGAAAACAAAATATTCAGTCATCTATACATGAAATAACCCATTAGATTTCAATTCTAAGTGGCGTAAAGGTAAAACAATGAGAACCAGGAACTCTAAATAGGCATGAAACCTTATGAAAGGTACTTTTCGTTTATAAATAATATATCAAATTTCTCCTTATTAAAATTAGCATATAACCTGAATTTGCTCCTCATCCAAATTCACCAATGTTACAAAAATGACATTTATAAAGAAGGTAGTAATACGAGTACCTGAATGGAGCACTTACTAAGTATTTCATTTTGTTGTTTTTCATAATTACTTAATTCTCTCAACAACTTGAGGTAAGTACTCTGCTTACCTCCATTTTATAGATGAAGAACTTAATGCTTAGAAAGGTGAATTGTTCAAAGTCACTTTTAAAATTAGCAAGTGGCAGAGCTGATAGCTAAACCTAGATTCTGACCCTTAACCACTATACTACACTCTTATCTCTTAACTACTAAACTGCCTCCCTTCAGACAGGGAGGAAGAAACAAAACCCCACAGAAAATTTCCCTTTTTGTATTTTTTTCTGTTGTGTTTGTACGGATCTCAGTGTACCTGAAGTTTAGAATCCAACTAAAACAAACTGTTCCTGGCAAAATATATTAGCTGACAGTGAATAGGGCAGAGAAAGAAGAAAAGAGTTAAGCTAAAAGTAAAACATTCGCTGACACCAGTCTAACATATTCAAATGACTGCCAAAAAATTCTTGTTCTAAAGGCTAAATATAAGTCAGCCAGAGATATTTCAGTGCTGTCCACCATTAAAATAAAAATAATGGCTCTGGGCTGCAGTACCCATACCTAACAAGGCACACATTTATTCAAAGTGAATATCTATATGCAAGGCTCTCAGTTCCTGTTATCACTAAACCTGTTTCAAATGATAAAATTCAAAAGGGCGTGAACTTTCCAAAATAATGCCTATAACTAGACTCTCCATCTTAGGGCTGAGATTTCTAACAACCTGAAAACATTTTTTAAAAGCCCTTTGAGTGTATGGGATAGTGGTAAACAATTATATAAATTTTTAGGAGAACCTACTGGAGTTATGTTTTATAGCAGTCCTCTTGCCCTGTGGAATCCTACTTATTTTGGAATTAGAACTCACGACTGCAGTTGCCTTGATCAGTAGAGTAGCCTCAATTACTCATTAAGGAAAAACAAAACAAAGGGCAAGACCCCAAGAAACACTACTACTATTTCCATCCCAGTGAGAAACACCATCATTGTATGTCTCTGTTTTTTTTTCATTTGAGGTATGTTTCACCTTTAAGAGACAAAAGGTCAAACAATGAAGAAATTAAACTGATATTCCAAAGTGTTATTTAATTCCAAAGATAAAGAGAAGTATTTATATTACATACGCTGGAAAATTTCGATACTATTGCTGGACTCTAAGGCAAATTAAAAATAGCACCAGCATTAATGAGATTAATATGCATTCACTGTGTGACTGCATAATGACAAGAGGAAAGTTGGAAATTCCCATACTACAAAAGGCTACTATCTTGTTGAAAAACTGAAGCTATAATGACTTATCCTAACTAAAAGATCCTTGAAAATTCACCTGACTAAAGCTCTGGATTCTGGAACTTCTAGACTCCCCACTTTACTACAATCTAGTTTAACTACGTTAATAATTCATTAATACTAAATGAGAGTACTACTAAGTGAAAACTGATGCCCTTATCTGGGATGCTTGAGAAACACTTGGAACAATTAAGATACCAACATACAAAAATATCCATTTTCAGGAAAGAGGTAATTCGTTCTTCTGCTCCCAAACATTTATTTCATTGCCCACTCCATCACCATTCTGTTGACACCACACAATTTCACAAAGAACAAACAGGAAAACCATTCAACCAGCAAGTGTTAACTCATGGTAAGTATATCAGTAATACAGTCTGCATTCCAAAACAATGTTATACAAATTAATTTATTTTGATCAGGCTTCTATTGCCATCTGTTTGCATAATAACCCAGCAATTGGTGTAATAGGAACTGCAAACTGATCCATGAACTGGGGACTGATACCTGGAAAATAACCTTGTAGCAGGTTATTAGAAATTTTGCATGCTACCTTGAAACTTGCTTCATTTGTTTGGATGACATCTCATCTGATGTTTCATTTAAAAGAAATCAAAGTCCAACCTCCCAAATTCTAGGGCATATGGCCGGATAAATTACATTGGAATACTTACCTAGAGCTGTGAAATCTGAACCAGATTTAAACAGAGCTGAAGCCAGAAGCTGAAACTGTGGGCGGGGCGGGGGGGAGAGAAAAAAGCAAATTAGCTAGGTAAGCACATTGGAGAAAAAACTCCTATAATTTCGACCATTCATTAGCCATTGGATGTCTCCGCACGTGTTGCATAAGTCTATTCACCAAAAAGTGGCAAGAAGAACACCGTATTTAGATTAAACAACATGCTGACTTTTCTAGTGGACTGCTGTTATCATTTTCCAAAATACTAGACCAAGTCCTGGAATTATTTTATTTTAAAAATATATTAAAGTATGTATTTATTAAGGAACAATAGGTCAACTGAAATATAAAATATTACTCACTACCATATGATCCAGCAATTCCACTCTTGAGTATACATCCAAAGAAAATGAAAACACTAATTTGAAAAGATACATGCACTCCAATGTTCACAGCAGCATTATTTACAATAGCCTGATATGGAAGCAACCTAACTGTCCATCAACAGATGAATGGATAAAGAAGATGTGGTATATATATACAATGGGACACTACTCAGCCATAAAAAAGAATGAAATAATGCCATTTGCAACAACATGGATGGACCTAGAGGGTATTATGCTAAGTGAAATAAGCCAGACAGAGAAAGACAAATACCAGATGTTACCACTTATACGTGGAACCTAAAGAATAAATGAATGAATAAAACAAAACAGAAAGACTCACAGATAGAACAAACTAGTGGTTACCAATGGGAAGATGGAAAGGGGTAGGGGCAGGACAGAGATAAGAGGTACAAACTACTATGTATAAAATAAATAAGCTACAAAGATACATTGTACAGCACAGGGAATATAGCCAGTATTTTATAATAACTTTAAATGGGATATAATCTATAAAAGTATTGAATCACTATTTTACACACCTGAAACTAATATAATATTGTAAATCAACTATACTTCGATTAAAGAAAAAGAAAATTAGGGGCTTCCCTGGTGGCACAGTGGTTGAGAATCTGCCTGCTAATGCAGGGGACACAGGTTCGAGCCCTGGTCTGGGAAGATCCCACATGCCACGGAGCAACTAGGCCCGTGAGCCACAACTACTGAGCCTGCGCGTCTGGAGCCTGTGCTCCGCAACAAGAGAGGCCACAATAGGGAGAGGCCCATGCACCGCAATGAAGAGTGGCCCCCGCTTGCCTCAACTGGAGTAAAGCCCTCGCACAGAAACAAAGACCCAACACAGCCAAAAATAAATAAACAAACCAATGAACCGACATTAAAAAAAAAGAACGTATGATGTAGAAGTAGCACCACCCTTCAAGGTGGAGAAGAATTCACCTATCTACCACTACCCCTTCTTCCTTAAAAAAAAAAAAAAAAGAAAAATTACTCAGTTGGGAATCTATCACATATAGAGAGACTGATGCCCTGTATATTAGTAAACATGAATTCTCACTTCAAAAATAAATGCATGCTACTGTAAAACACCTGATGTCTCTGTGTAAATCAAACTCTGAGAAAAAAAGCATGGTTATTATGCATAAGCCATCCCTAAATTACAACTTAGATTGGTATTCCATGGTCATATATAATTGTATTGTTATATAATTATAAAGGCTCAAAGGTCTTTTTTACATTGAAAAAATGTTGTGTTGATTAGATTCCCAGGCTAGCCAGAGTTAGTTTAAATCAGACAATGCAACTGAACAATGACAAAATAAAAGTATTGCATCACTTGTACTTTAACAAATTGGTACAGAAATAAAACTTTAGGAGAACTATTCATATTTATCTTGAATGAGGATGCTGGAAAACAGGTCAGTTAAAGGAAGGAATAAGAGTATACAAATGAGTTGAATCTCAATGGAGTTTACTTGGCACTTTGCAAGACTTGAGCAGTTCATACCACTGATTCTTCAGGACGTATTTCACACTTGTACTTGTAGCCTTCAAAATTTCAGGTATCAGTCACCTGATTAATCATCCTTTGAATGTAAGAAACTGGACAAATTAGTTAGGAAAAAAGGGGATAAAAGGAAGAGCTAAAAATATATGAAACTTCTTCATATATTCTGGGTATCAGTCCTCTGTCAGACATATCTACTGCAGATATTATTTGGTCTGAGGCTTGTCTATTTTTATTTTTATTTTTAATTTTTGGCCGCATGGTGTGGCCTGTGGGATATTAGTTCCCCGACCAGGTATCGAACACAGGCCCTCTGCCGTGAAACCGTGAAGTCCCAATCACTGGACCATCAAGGAATTCCCTCATCTATTTTTTTTTGATAATGTCTTTTAATGAGTAGAAATTTTAATTTTGTTGAAGTCCAATTTGTCAACTTTTTCTTTTATGATTAGTGCCTTTTGTGTCATGTCCAAGAAAGCTTTGCTTATCCCAAAGTTGTGAAGATAATCTGTTTTCTTCTTAAAGGTTCATTGTTTTGGGTTTTATACTTAGATCCATAATCCATCTTAATTTTTGTGTTAAGAGTGAAATAGGGGTCGACGGGCTTCCCTGGTGGCACAGTGGTTGAGAGTCTACCTGCCGTTGCAGGGGACACGGGTTCGTGCCCCGGTCCGGGAAGATCCCACATGCCACGTAGCGGCCAAGCCCGTGAGCCATGGCCGCTGAGCCTGTGCGTCCGGAGCCTGTGCTCCGCAATGGGAGAGGCCACAACAGTGAGAGGCCCACGTACCGCTAAAAAAAAAAAAAAAAAAAGTGAAATAGGGGTTGAGATATCCAGTTATTTAGCACTATTTGTTTAAAAAACCTTTCTTTTCCTTATTGGACTTGGTGCTCTGGTCAAAAAAATAAACTGACTGCATATATATGAGTCTGTTTCTGAACTCTATTCTGTTCTATTGATCTATTTGTCTATCCTTAAGCCAGTACCACACCACCTTGATTACTATGGCTCTATACAGAGTCCTGAAATCAGGTAGTAAGTATGAGACCTTCAACTTTTTCTTTTTTCAAGATTGTTTTAGCTAGTCCAGAGCCTTTGCATTTTGACTAAATTTTAGAATAAGTCTGTCTATCTCCTCAACAACAAAGAAACCCAAACTGACTGGAATATTGACAGGAACTGCATTAAATTATAAACCGATTTGGGGAGAATGGGCATCTCAACACTTTTTAGTCTTTCAAACCACAAATGTGATTTATTTCTCCATCTATTTAGGTATTCTTTAATTTGTCATCTAAAAATGCAAACAATTTTACTTCCTCCTTTCAAATCTATATGCTGTTTATTTCTTTTTCTTACCATATCGTACTAGCTAGGACTTCTGGCACAATGCTAAATAGAGGTGTTGAAGCAGACAACCTTTCCTTGTCATAATCTTAGGGGAAAGGGTTTAATGTTTTACAGTTAACTATGGTACTAGCTGTATGTTTTTCACAGATGCCCTTTATGAGATTTATGATGTTTCCTTTATTCCTGATTTGTTAAGAATTTTTATCATCAATGGGTTTTGCATTCTGTCAAATGATTTTCTTCACTTATTGAGGTGATCTGTGGTTTTTCTCTTTCATTCTGCCAATGTGGTGAAATATACTGATTTTCAAATGTGAAACCAACCTTGTACTCCTAGCATAAACCCCCTCTTGGCTATTGTGCATTAACCTTTTTATATATTGCTGGATTCAGTTAACTAAAATTTTCTTAAGAATTTTGTACCTACATTCACAGGGCTATTGGTCTGTAATTTTCTTTGCTTGTAATGTCTTTTTTGGGTTTTTACATCAGAGTTAAGCTGCTTCATAAAAGGATTTAGAAGGTGTTCTGTCTTATTCTGATTTCTACAAATCTATACCAAATTGGCATTTTTTTCTTCCTTAAAGGGTTGATAGAATTTACTGATATAGCCATCCAGGCCTAGTATTTTCTCTCTTGGAAAGTTTTCAATTACAAATTCAATCTCTGTAATTGATATGGAGTTCCTTAAGATTTTCTAATTCTTCTTGTGTTAGTTTTGGTAAGTTGTATCTTTCAAGAAATTTGTCCATTTCATCAAGTTGCTGAATTTGTTGACAAACTTGTTCATAATATCTCCTTAGTACACTTTTAATGTAGGTAGGGCTGTAATGATCTCCCCTTTTCATTTGTGATGCTGATAATTTATGTTTTCATTATTTGTTTCCTTGATAAGTCTTGCTAGAGGTTGACCAATTTTAGTCACTTTTTCAAAGAACAAACTTTTCACTTTTTATATTTTTTCTACTGTTTCCTATTTTACTAATTTCCTATATTCTAGTGAATACTTATTTGGGGTTAATTTGTTGCTCTTTTCTAACTTCTAAGATGAAAGATAAACTTCACTGGCTCTAAACAGAAGGATGGGGAGAAAACTGTTACTTTAACCATCCAATTAAATAAGTGGCACTGCTATGTACTGGCCTAGACTTTTAACAGGTACTGAGTAATAGTACACAATCTGAATAAAGTCAGTCCTCTCCCCCCAGCTTCAGACTTGAACATCCAACTATCACTTCAACATCTCAAGCTGGCTGTTTCACAGGCAACTCAAACTGAACATATGCAAAATTAAACTCCTGATTCCAGTCAGGAGGCTCCACCTTCTCATTTCAGTTGACAGTAACTCCATCCTTCTAGCTTTTCAGGCTCAAAACTTTGGAGTCATTTCCTTCAAACCCTACATCCAATCATAAAATTCCGTTGGTTCTACCTTTAAAATATACTGAGGGGACTTCCCTGGTGGCGGAGTGGTTAAGAATCTGCCTGTCAGTGCAGGGGACATGGGTTCCATCCCTGGTCCAGGAAGATTCCACATGCCGCAGACCAACTAAAAGCCCGTGCGCCGCAACTACTGAGCCTGCACTCTAGAGCCCGCATGCCACAACTACCGAGTTCACGCACTGCAACTACTGAAGCCTGTGTGCCTAGAGCCCATGCTCTGCAGCAAGAGAAGCCACCCAATGAGAAGCCCGCGCACCGCAACAAAGAGTAAACCCCGCTCGCTGCAACTAGAGCAAGCCCGCGTGCAGCAACGAAGACCCAATGCAGCCAAAAAAGTATATACATACATACATACATGTATATAAATAAATACATATAGAGAGAGAGAGAGAGAGGGAGGGAGGGAGGGAGGGAGGGAGGGAGAGAGAATCTGATCTATTTTACTTCTCACCATGTCTATTGCTACTACTTTGCTCTGAGCAACAATCCCCCTTGCTTAGATTTCTACACCTCCCTCATATTCTCTTTGCCTCCATCCTTGTTCCCTTTTAGTCTATTCTCAATACAGTAGTCAGAGTGACCTAACTAAAACATAAAGCAGATGATATCACTCCTCTGCATGGACAATACCCTGAACCAGCTCCCTATTCAGAGTAAGAGCCAAAGTCCTAATAATGACTTATGAAGTCATTCATAACCTGTTCTGCCAATCCCTGCTCTTACCTCTTGGACCTCATCTCTGACTGCTTTCACTCTCCTTACCTCTACTCCAGCCACGAGTGTCTCCTTGCTGTTCTAAACAAAGCCAAATACTCTCCATCCCAGGGGTCTCTGTTCTAGCCCTCCCTTTGCTAGGAATTATCTTCCCCAAATTATCTACTTAGATCACGCCCTCATATTCTTCAAGTCCTTGTGCAAATCTGATTTCCAAATGAGGTCTATCATGATTATTCTATTTAATACTGCAACTGCCCAATTCTTACCCCTTATATATATATATATATACGTATATATATATATATATTTTAAACGTAGATTTTATTTTTGGCTGCGTTGGGTCTTTGTTGCTGCACGCGGGCTTTCCCTAGTTGTGGCAAGCGGGGGCTACTCTTCGTTGCGGTGTGCAGGCTTCTCATTGTGGTGGCTTCTCTTGTGGCAGAGCACGGGCTCTAGGCGCGCAGGCTTCCATAGTTGTGGCTCGCGGGCTCTAGAGCACAGGCTCAGTAGTTGTGGCGCACAGGCTTAGTTGCTCTGTGGCATGTGGGATCTTCCCGAACTAGGGCTTGAACCCAGGTCCCCTGCATTGGCAGGTGGATTCTTAACCACTGCGCCACCAGGGAAGTCCCCTTACATTTTTGATCTCTTTTTAACTTTCCTACAATACTTATCAAATTCTAATGCACAGTATAATTTATTTAATATGTTTATTGTTCCCCCCCACTAGTATGTAAGTACCTCCTGGGCAAGTATCTTGTTTGGTTCACTGGTATATCTATTGTACCTAGAAGAATGCCTGGCATATTGTAGGAACTCTACACAATATTTTAAATAAATGACATCAGTACATTGGAAGCTCAGTAGAAAGACAATTAATACAAAGTGTGCAATACTGGCTGAAAACTTGTTTCTCTTGTTCCTTCTCTATTATAGAATCCTCTCTGAAAATGGTAGAATCAGTTTAAGCATCCTTTTCTTGGCCCTTTTCTAGAAAAAAATACAATGCTCATAAGCTTTATTATAAGCTCATCACCAATTTAGAACCCATGCTCTGGAGACTGGAAGAAAGCAAAGAACCATTATTAGTTGATAGTCCACCAGCATTTTGCGACTAAAAGACACAATGATGACCCAGAAAAGGGGGAGAAAGATCTAAAAACCACTTCTGGTTGCTGATAAAATCATTTAATATAATGAAAAATTTGTAAAACGTACATAGAGAACAAAACCCAAGCTACTACAGAAAATGAAGAGCAGTAAGGCCTTTCTCAAAAAGGGGAATGATTTCTTACAATGAAAAGCGAAGATCTATATGCCTCACTAACAGATACTGTAAGTACATATATATACACTGGAGCTGTCCCCAAGGGATTTCTTTCCCCAAACGAAATCTGTTCACACGTTTTTAAACAAAAGAATAACCTTACAGACCACTAATTCTCAATTTTTTAGGTGTGTTTTCAGTTTTCCATTGTAAAAGAGCAGACAGAGGAGACTCTTAGGGTGAGGGTATTGTTCTGAAAAAGCTTCTAAAGTGATTCTTATGCTGACATACACATGAATAACATCATTTTTACTAACTTCTACTAGGGTTAAACAACTCTTGATAGATACAGCTTTTCAGAAATGGAGTGGAAGTCTGTGGCATACAAAATCACAATTTGATACTCTTCAGGAAAAGAGAAACCCACTACCAAAATTCTTAAAATGACTGTTTGAACTTGAGATACCTCCCTGTCCTGGACTTTCCTACTAGCTTAGCTTTAAGAGCAAACTGTCTGTTTTCTTTGGCCTACTTGCAACTCACACAGCTGAAATTATTTACTTTGAAATATTTTGTTTTGGTTTGGTTTTAAAAAATAAAAGAAAAATGAATGTTCCGGATTACAGCCATTTTAGACAGACTATGGTGAAAACACAAGAAAATCCATTTATAACTCTCAAATGCATGGTCTAACAAAATGAACATTAACAGACTCTTCACAACTATGTTCAGTTTATAAGCCATAACAGATTAAACCAAATATATTCTGCTACTTGGCAAAATCGTGACAGTTCTCCCTATTTCAAATAGTATCATGAATTGACTGAAGACTCAAGAAAAGACAATTAACTGTCCTTTTTCAGGGGGTTTTAAAATGTGTTCTGCTGATTCTCCACCTACTGAAGGGTTGTAACCAATACTGAGTGAGAGAACTAGGGCTTATTTTCACAGAAGGCAACTATGAAAGAGTATTTCTTTGTTTTGGTGCCAAGGACATGCAGGCTCTTCTGCTTGAAAGTACAATGAACCTGGTACCTGAAAGTCATTCAGTCTGATACCTGTGTCAATGCTGAACAGAGGAAAACACTGCTTGATGTTGCTATTACAAAGCCAAAGCACAACAACAGCTAACAGGATGTAAGGAACAGAACTACATATAATCACCAATTCTGAGAATGGAAGGTAAAATGGATTGCAGTTCAGATGTTGCTAGATGAACTATGAACAAGAATAGTTAGCAAAAGGAAGAAGTGACAAAAGGAATCTTAGAAGTTGGAAGAGAGGTTGTAAGACCATGAAACTCATTGCAGGTATATTCACACACTGTGGATATGCAAATATGCCCTAAGAATATTAAATCTTAGAAACAGCTGCTTCCATCCCATGTTATGTACCACAAAAACTGAAAAGTAATGATCTGTTACTAAGTTCTCAAGCTTAGGGGCTACTGATGAACGAAGTTAGTAGCCTATGGTAAAACTGTACTGCTACAACATTCATATAACTAAATAACAAGCCAGCAAAGATTCTACTCCCACCAACCTCTCTTCACTTTCTCCTTACAATAAAGGAGAGTTTTCTTTCTTCTTTTAGGGGAATTTTCGAGTATCAGTAGAAAAAGTTTATACTGAACTTTATGTAACCCTTAAGTAAAGGAAGTATGGAACTATGGCAGAAGTAAAATTTTTCTATTTCCTTTCCAGTACAAAATCTAATGACTACTTAAAACTTTATACCTGAGAATCCTTTTCTGAGTGGATCACAGGTTTTTGTGTGACTTGAATCTTAGATTACCACATGAAAATACGTCTACTCAATTTTTATTTCATCTGCTCTGTACCATTTTTAAGATTTTTAGTGTCATCATATTTTCCTCACTTTCCTTTAAACATCCAAGAACAAAGTCAACAAATATAAGTTAGAAAGACAATTTTTCAAATGTTCAATTTCTGAAGTTTATTGCCACCTTTACCTCTTTTGTCTCTTCTGGGTCTGAATGATCCACAGTTATATAAAGATCATTTTGTAGATATTTCAGAGCACTAAGGGGATCCATTTGGGCCTTCTCTTCAAACCTAGAAAATGTAAACAAGAATAATTGTCTAGAGTTATGAAAAAACATCAGAAATGCCTTTTAAACCCAGACTGGAATACTCTGTATCTGAGAAGATACTGTGGATATCTAAAAATCCTGTGCTTAAGAATCCAGAAGTAAGAATACTGACACATATATAAATAGCGTACATGTGGAGTCCCTGGAGATGTAATGGTAATGTCAGGCTGTGGTGCTAGAGACTGGATAAGAGCATTTCCAACCCTCCTCTTAAAACTATAAGCTAAGATTAAATCAACTACAAAACATAGTGAATATGTCAAATATTTTATATAACAGAAGTGCAAAATAGCCAAATATGTTTCATAAATAAAAATAATTTCCTAAATTTCTGTCATATACTCTCCACTGGAGGTGTTTAACAGATACTTCAGAAAGTGAAATGAGTATAGTTTCTTTTTTTTTTTTTGCGGTACACGGGCCTCTCACTGTTGTGGCCTCTCCCGTTGCGGAGCACAGGCTCCAGATGTGCAGGCCCAGCGGCCATGGCTCACGGGCCCAGCCGCTCCACGGCATGTGGGATCTTCCCGGACCGGGGCACGAACCCGTGTCCCCTGCATCGGCAGGCGGACTCTCAACCACTGCACCACCAGGGAAGTCTGAGTATAGTTTCTTTTAATGAGTATCATTAACACTGATTAGATATTTTTAATGAGACTATTTCCATGTCTCAGTAATAACAAAAACTGTAGCAATCATTTATCAATCGTTTGTTTTGTGCTAGACACTGTATCAAGTATCTTACATATATCATTTCATGTATCCTCCCATAACTCTATGATGAGAAGTTTATCATCATTTAAAAAAAAAAAACAGATGAGGAACTGAGCCTAGTAAATGAACTTGGCCAAGCTAAGACCTAGTAAGTGGCAGAAGTAGAATTAAACTCAAGTGTCTCTGATTCCAAAGCTGAAAGGAAACAAAGGATTTTCTTAAATTAAAAAAGTCTGCTTGGGACTATATATCTATTTAAATAATGATAATTCCTTTTTTAATAGCATAATTAGATATGTATTTATTTCTAATAAACTGGTATGCTTTTCAAAATATTATACAGAAAGAAGACATTTAATTTCATTTGGGAAAGGAAAATAGTGAAGAGCCTTTCACAACTGTGTTCAGCTGATGGCATCAATAATTTCCTGTCTTTAGAGCTAATCTCAGTGATAGGGTACCTGGAGGGGCAAAGACTGGCAAAATATTACAGTTTTCTTGTACCAGATAGTACCCTGATTGTCAGCCAGCCTTACAACCCTCAGATGAGAGTCTTAGGTCCATGTTACTCTACCATCTTGTCCACAATGAATTAGACCAGAGTTTTGGCACCTGAGCCAAAAGCAATCATCTTGAGTTGATGAGCAATTTTTAAAGTGGCCTGGCAGAATTCTTTCCAATAGGGATACTCTCTCTAGGGAACTTTCTGTAAGAAGATACTCTCTTAGAGAATCTGAATGTGAGATACACAAGGACACAAAAAACATACAAAACACAGAAGGCAATAAGCAGAAGATATGAGATGACAGATTCCTTCTCTTCCTATCCTTCTCTCCCTTCCTTCCTACTACCTAGCTACCTAGCCACCTACCGAAGCCATAAGAGAAAGCAGAGTCAGGAAGTAGAACAGGAAAAGCAGACAGAAAGAAGCAGAAAGAGAGAGGCTCAGTTACAAGGAAAGCTACTTCAGTAGCTTCTAGCTATTAGAATTGTCTCAGTATCCTAAACAATTCTCCACCAGGCCTCACTGTTCAAGTGCTGAGGAAGCACCTTAATTCTCTGGATATTCTCATAATAAATTGTTTTTCAGTGAGATATCCTAAGTATGTCTTTATCCTTGTAACCTGATAACTTAACCAACACACACCTACTGTACTATTAAATAAATCCAGCAAAGGGATCCATTTTCCTGGAAGGTGTGTTCTCTCTTTCCTTTTTTAAGCTTTTTTGTTAGCCCACAAAAACTTATTACTGGACTTGTGTCTGCAGTCTAGAATTATATTTCAGCCAACAATTCTGCCCTCTACCTAAAGGAACAAGGAACTAATCATATTAAAATTTTTTTCTTTTGCCCCTTTCCACCCCCAAATCATCAATATATTTGGAAACTTGAATGCTATACAAAAAAACAGTGGCATTTTATTTTCTGTATTATGTGGCACCATTAAGAACAAAGACACTTTCTTGGCATTCAATATACTTCTCTCCCTTCAAATTTATACTTGAAAATTTATATTTTAACTAAATAGTAGCAAATTTCAAAGGCTGATTATTTGCTACCTTGAAGCAAGGTTGAAACTTGCTACCTTTCAACTTCAGTCACTTTATTTCATGAATCATTCTCACACTCACAAGATTTGCTAGTCTTTCATAATGTAATTAAAAATTTAAATAATTTGTTACTGATTATTTAAATAATTTGTTACTGCTTATTATTTTCCTTATCCACTTTCAGCCTTTACTAGCACAAGTCACTAATGATGTTTTGTACTTGAAACTTAAAACATGCCATAATATATATATAATATATATAAATTTCAGATTCCCATAAATCGTCATTTCACCTGTCCACTGACAGATTTTTAAAGGAGAAAAATGACTGCCAAAGATGAAAAATAATACTTCTTAGGATAGGTTGGTTGTGGGAAAATGAATAATTCTACTTACTTCCAGAAGGAATGAAAATTAACTTTCTGGAGGGCAACGTATAATTCATCAAGTCTATCGTTACCCTACAGAAATTTTGATAGGGGTGCATATGGAAGTATATAATAACATTAACTAGAGTGTTATTTATAATTGCAAATAGGTTGGAAATAAGCTAAATATTCAACAAAAGGAGACTAGTTAAGTAAATTACACAGAATAGAACACTATGTAGCCATTATAATTATGATTTGTATTTTTATTTTTTAACATGGTAATAACATCACTCATTAAAAGACATCAGATTCAAAGCAAGATGATCCTTATTTTTTAAACAAACAAAAATTCTATTTGTGCACATAAAATTCAAGGGATACACACCAAAATATTATTTTCGAATGGTGGGATGGGGGATGATTCAATTCTTTGTGGTGGGGAGAGAGGACTTTTTTTTTTCTTTATTAACCATGGATTACTTTTCTAATTAAAAGCCAGAGGAAAGGGCTTCCCTGGTGGCGCAGTGGTTGGGAGTCCGCCTGCCGATGCAGGGGACACTGGTTCGTGCCCCGGTCTGGGAGGATCCCACATGCCGCGGAGCGGCTGGGCCCGTGAGCCATGGCCGCTGAGCTTGCGTGTCCGGAGCCTGTGCTCCGCAACGGGAGAGGCCGCAGCGGTGAGAGGCCCGCGCACCGCAAAAAAAAAAAAAAAGCCAGAGGAAAGTGTTTATAAAGTAAGTTTGAATTCTTTACATACAGCACTAGACAACCTTCTTTAATCTCTAGTGGACTTTTGGTCAGGAAATTTTTTTTAAAAGCTCAACTCAACATTCTAACTATAGTTGTTGTATCTGAAGTAGGAATAAAACAAACATTATGATTTCCCCAAATTTGTCTTATTCGTCTTAACCTTTTAAAACAAAGTTTAAAGTTTTTTTAAACTTTTAAAAACAAACTTTAACATTAAGTACCAAGGAATAATATTTTAGCAACGTAAACATTAGCTGAAGGTACCTCAAGCTTAAATCTTGTTAATAAGACAGAATTTATCTCTTGCCATCCAGCCGTGACAATTCAGACCTTTTCTCCTACAGATTCTGTAGGAAATACTCTTTAATTATTCATAGTAATAACAAAGTAACAGAAGCAACTAGCTTTTGTTATCAATTTATCTCTCAAGCACAACTTGTGAAAGCAGAGAGAGAAATAACAAGCAAACACGATATGATAAAGGAACACAAATCTAACTTACACCTACACAGAGATTTTTATTTATTTATATTCTATATAAAATATAATACGTAATTATATACTAAACATATAAACACACATGTGTGCATGTCTGTGTATATACCGATGTGTACGGGGTGGTGGTGGTGGTGAAGTGGTAACTCCGGAGTCAGAATACACAGCATCAAAGCCCGGCTCTGTCACTTACAGCTGAACAACCTTAGGTCAGTTATACAACCCACTTAAAAACGCTTCCATTTCTTCTTTTATAAGAGAGTAATAATAACAGTACCTACTCCACTGTCTTATTGTGAGAATAATATGCAGGATCTAGCACACAAAATTGCTCATAAATGGTACCTATTATCATCATTAAAAGCTGAACTTCTCTCCCTCCAAATTGTAAATTTTTATTACGATCTAACACTACCAGAAACCAAAGGGACAGATGTATTTTTCTACATTTTTCAGCTTATCACCTGCTAAGGCTAAAAAGCAAACATGACTGAGGAGACATATGAAAATGTTTGATTACTTGATTTTGCAATTAAATGGCAAAAGTAATGATGTAAGGCTATAATCATATTTGAAGTTGTATTCTGAAACATCAAATTATAAAGAGATTATTTACTCAACTATATCATCACATTCACTGTTAAGAGAGTTATCAACAGGTCAGTCACATGCCAATAATCTCCACATGCCAATCATCTAGAAGTGATATAATCTGTAGTGGTTAGGCCTTGAGTTACTTTAAGGTAGGTTCATCACGTTCATAGAAACTTTTTCCATTAACAGCTGCAAAATATCCTTGCTCTATCTTTAATAATTTTTAGCATCAAGATATATCTTCACTTTGTACCATCCTTTGAAAGAAGAAAGCAAAACTAAGGAGAACAGGGCATTTACAAAAGTCATGATCTTCACAGTACTTACAGTGTCATGTTACTAAATTTCCAAAGACAAAGTCACATCTCCAAAGCTTAGGTAATACCAACAATAGCTGATAATGCTAAATAAAAGTTTTCAGTGATTTATTTTTATACCTGTGTTTTCTTATGAGGTACTTGCAATGCCTCAGTAAGTAATCTTTTGAAGGCCTACACAATTTCAGTGACCAGAAGTCATCTAATCTCATCTTTGGGGAGCAAGATTTTCCTGGATTCCCACCAAATAAATAATGAACCTGTAATAAATAAAACAAACCAGATTTTAAAAAAATGCATGCATACTCAAGAAACTACGAAAGTCAAAGTAAAATTTCTTCATTTTGGTAGTAGTGTGTAACAAGTAACTTCTTTAGCTTTACTAAAGACTAAAACATTATTACATGTCTACTAAAGGCTGCTTCTGCTTTTTCTCAAGTTTCCATTTTACTTTAAAGTACTGTGACTACTTCCTTAAATTACATTTTCTATTAAAATAAGTTGTATCACCACAGTTACACTGACAATGGAAGACATAAAACAAAGCAATGATAGTAAGAAGCTATTCCAAGATACTGAGTTTGCTTAGGGCAACAAATAATGGGGATTATCAAGTTAATCAAGTGTTGATTGTAATAAAAAATGGTATCTTTTAAAAAACTGACACACAAGTTGAATCACTGAAGGTCAACAGTAACTAGAAACTTTAAAAATTTTAGCATCTTACTTTTGCTTTAGCCTTAATGCTGAATATTTTTAAATGGCATATATGACTTGTGAAATAACTTTTAAAATATTTTTCTATTATTCAATTAATATCAAATAAGAAATGTAAAAGGAATACTACAATGATTTCACTATTATAATTACAGCTTTAGCAATATTCTGTACTCAAAGTGTTAAAGCAGTTCTTGAAAATTTTGAAAACATTTATAACCAGTAGTGTTACACAACAGAGATATTATTTATTTCTGTCCTATAGATGGAAATTCACTTATCCTTTAATTTGGGAGACTCTCAGAGAAAGGGCTTTTATTTACTCCCATGGTATCTTTTACCTAAAGTTCTCAAATGATAGAGGATTTAAATAATCATCTATGGCCTAAACAGAAAGAATACAGGTTCTGTCAGTAATTTACTATGTAATCTGAGCCCAATCGTCAAACATGTAAAATTTAAGGGAGAAATAGCTAAAGAAACCACTCTGAACACTTAGGGACACTAAAACTTCAGAATTCAGGACTGTTTTCATAGGCTGATGGAACAGATTATGTCAATCATAGATAGGAAAAATAAAGATAAAAAGACTTCTTACACAATGGGAAAATCTAAAATCAGGAAGTTATATATACCTTTTCATATCATGGAAAAAGGTATACAAGTGCTGAAACCTGTACATCTTCTACTTGAATATTCATATTGTATTGACAGAAACAATAGGCCATGCTATATGTATCAGATCTATGCAGCTAAGAAGCAGCAACCACTGGCCATTTTCATAAGAAAAGTGTCAGGAACTGTGGACTATGCAAAAATGTTTATTCTCTTAAGGAATTTTAGGGACAAGGTGATATCAAATGTCTGCTACGTATTCTAGTAAATGTCAGTCATTTTTATTCAAATCTACTTAAAAATAATCAGAAACATATATTTTGAGATTCTTTCCAATTGTACATCACAGAAAGTTTACAGGTCAATGTAGTTAGTATACCTTGTGTAACTCATCGTATACAAGCTGATGGGCAAATCTTGGACATGGTTCTTCCTCCTGAAGACTTTTACTTGGATTATCCTTTGCAGCTTGATCATTCTTATAGACGCAAGACCTGAAAGACATTGCTTTTAAGGCATTCTATCTTAGAAAACTAGCAGCACACATAATACAATTGTAGCAAGCAAATTAACGCAATGTCTAATTACAAACAAAAAATTATAAATTTGTTCACATCAAATCTTAAAAGTTCTGGTCACCCTCATAAAATAATCTAAATTTGTTAGAACTGAGTTCTGAAGTTCTTTAATGTCCATCAAAAATCTCTCTCAAGAACAAACTACTTCGTGTTATGAAACAGGATCAGCATATATGAAGGCTTAAACCAACGGCTGAAAGAGATGATATCACATTTATCTATTCACAATAAAAAAGCTCACAACAGACTTCTTTCATTCTTACTGTAAATAAATGTCTTATTTAGAAAATAATAAATTCCTTAGCTGCTGAGCACCACCCTCCATTACTGAATGGAGGAAGTTCTCTGAAGTTCCTCTGTTTTGGAGAATATTCACTTATGTAGTAATCACAGAACATTAGAGCTGGATCCTCTAGGTCAGTGTTTTTTGTTTTTTTTTTTCTGCGGTACGCGGGCCTCTCACTGCTGTGGCCTCTCCTGTTGCGGAGCACAGGCTCTGGACGCGCAGGCTCAGCGGCCATGGCCCACGGGCCCGGCTGCTCCGCGGCATGTGGGATCCCCCCGGACCGGGGCACGAACCCGTGTCCCCTGCATCGGCAGGCAGAGTCTCAACCACTGCGCCACCAGGGAAGCCCTAGGTCAGTGTTTTTCAAAGCAAAATGTGCAGCAGTTCTATGAGATGCTCTGTGACAAAAGGGCTAGTTTGAAAATGCTAAATAATAATGCTCCCCACCTTGCTCTAGTCAAACTGCTTCACTTTATAAAAACTAAGAAAAGACCTGGGAACATTAAAAATACATGGTTCTCAAGTTTACACATCTACTTGGTAGCAAAAGCTAGACTAAAATACAATTCTTTTGACTCTCAGACAAAGAAACATCTACTAATTGAAATAATTCAGTGGTAAAATCCATTTGCTGAACATCGCTGTATACACAGGCACCAGTACTGACTTTTCCACTCCCCAATATTGATATTAAAATATATGACGTCACAAATTAACATAAGCCTTCCATCTCTCTCGTCTTTTGAATAAACCAACAACCTCAAATAAATGTTACACTGTGATTGCAGTACAGACAAGAGCTACTTACCAACTATTCCTTACAATGTCATAAATCCAGAATGAATTTCTGACATTTTCTTCCCTCTTTTCCTTGTCTTTGCTGAGTCCAGATAAGACATGTATTTCATTCAGTTCTGGATCAATGGTTGCTCTCTGTGTGAATCCTGTCATTGGAACTATAAATTGAAAGAGAAAATAAGATGACAGTATTAACATTACTTAACAGATTAGTACTACTCTATAAAAGATTACTACATCCTTACCCTGCTCTACTTGTGTCCACAGCACTTACCTTCTAACAGACTACATAACTTTTATATTAAACAATAATCAGTTGTTTCTTGCCTTCTCCCCACTCAAACGTAAACTCTATAAGGGCAAAGGTTGTTTGGTTCACTGTTTTGTTCCCAGTGCCTAAAACAATTGCCTGGCATATAATAGTTACCCAACTATTTGCTGAAATAAATGAACGCTAACTACCAGAATGGAGTTAGAAGGAGGGAAGAGATAGAAAGAGGTATGCAATGTAATCATTTTTATTGAGGAAAAGGGCAATGCTTTATTTAACTGATTTATTATCTGGGTCAGCTCTAATTTAATAGCAGAGACAAAATATTCAAATCTCGACCAAGAAAAACAAAAATTTGACACGCCGGTTTGTTCAATAAGGTCAAAGTCATCTAAAATACCTGTTCAAGACCTACAATGAAATGACATAATTTCCAAGAAAAATAAAATAAAATAAAATATTTGGGGCTAAAATATGCCATTTTGTTTTCCTGAGTGGCTCAAATTCCCCAGAGTTAATTTTCTGAGAAAATATTTTATTTCCTGAGAAATCCATTAAATGAGTGATGGTCATTCAGCATTATCCAGTAATTTGTAAAACACTGATATAGCAAATGCAAATTTTCTCACTATTATTACTTGGAAATATTAGTTGAAATATAATTTTATGATTCACAACATACTTGCCACAGATTTAAAAATAATGCCACTGTTTCAACACTACATTTCTTTTATACACGAACAATTATCATATGCTGAAAAAGCTAAACAAACATCAGATTGAAGTAAAACATTTCAATCAATCCAGAATACTATGGGAGGAGATGCTAACCACATTGATATTTATTCATCTTTACCTATTTTAGCAGGGCCAAATGATGCAATATGTATTTTTTCCTAGTTTAATTCATGGGTTCTTTCACATTCATATTCAATAAATTTGTCTGGAACATTTCAGAGACTATCCAAATGCATCCCACAGTAAATATATTAAAAAATTATACACACATATATAACACAATACATAATTTGTATGCATCCATACACAAATACATTTATCTTTATACACACACATCAACCTATTCTTAACAATAACCTCAACCCTCATAATACACAGTCTTTAGTGGTTATGTAAAGCCTGGTATTTTCTAATTAAGCCTTGGTAAACTTTCAAAAGTACCCAGGTTCTGACCTCTCTTCCTGAGATAACCTTGGAAGAAAGATAAAACAGTAAAGAAATGAAATCATTTTCATTAGTTGTAGAAGTGGAGGACATAACTGCCTAAATTTATTGCACTTAAATTTCTTCATCCCATGTAGAATTCTATAACATGGGTTGACAAACTATGGATTGATCTGACCTGCCTAGGGTCAAATCAGGCCTCAGTCATTCATTTACATTTTGTCTGTGGCTGATTTCACCCCACAATAGCAAGGCTGAGTAGTTGCAACGACAATAATTACATCTGGCTCTTCATAGAAAAAAATTGCTAACCCCTATTCTATAATCTTTTAAAATGCAAATATGAGAGATGTATGACTTATTATAAATGAATGCAACAAACTGCTTACCTAAAATAAGGACCCATTTAAATACCTTAAATAAGGAACCGGAAATTTCTGAGTGGAATGGAAATCCGTGCAGAGGGAAAGAGATTTTTGAATTCTATAAAATGGGGCTGGGTCACCGAGAGGAGAATAAAGGAGTACTGGGAGGCATGTGAGAATGTTACATGCTTTCTCTTCCATACTGTCACATTTTACCTAGAAGCAGCTTTGTAGCAGAAGAGAAAAATGACAAGTGTTGCTTCTCAAAAATGAAAGCAGTGGGCAGGTTTACAATACTCAGGGAGGTAAGACTACCATGTTTATAACATCTGTACTATAAGAATTATAAAAAATTACTTTGATTATAAAGCAGATTAGAAAGTATACACTTCCCATTTCTTTGATCTTTCATATACAATATGCCTTTTACTCTGCGAAATGTTGACTTCTGCCTCAAAGTTACACATTTAAGTCTTTTATTGGCTTTTCAAACAGCTTTACAGAATATCATTCACATACCATATAATTCACCTATTTAAAGCATACGGCTTGGGTTTTTTTTTAGTATATCCACTATAAAACCATCATCACAATCTAATTTTAGAATATTTTCATTACTCCAAAAAGAAACCCTGTACCCATTAGCAGTCATTCCCCATCCCCTTTCACATCTCCCCACAGGGTCACTGCATCATTTGACATGTCTATCAACAATGCAGCATAGACAGGCAAAGTGAGAGGCTTGTGAGATACATAGATCAATTAGGAGGCTGTTAACAGTGCAATGGTGTGGACTGGACGAAGGTAGTAAGGAAATATTAATAAAGAAGCACGATTTCCATCAGCAAAAAAAGGGAGGAGATGTTATGTCAAAAGTACAAAAATCTCTGGACTGGCTTAACAGAGACCAAGCTTGGAGTAGAAACTTGTGAAAAATAAGAGTAAAAATGTTTCACTCGGGGGCTTCCCTGGTGGCGCAGTGGTTGAGAGTACACCTGCCAATGCAAGGGACACGGTTTTGTGCCCCGGTCCGGGAAGATCCCACATGCCATGGAGCGGCTGGGCCCGTGAGCCATGGCCACTAAGCCTGCGTGTCCGGAGCCTGTGCTCCACAACGGGAGAGGCCACAACAGTGAGAGGCCCGTGTACCGCAAAAAAAAAAAAAAAAAAAAGTTTCACTGAAACTTTTTCGAGGTATCCAAATATTTTACTCTAAGAATATTCAAATGTACAATCTCCCAAGGACAGAATTTCTATTACTCCTTAAGTTTACATACCCTTACAAATGTAATTTTTATTGCATACTAATGACAAGGTAAAACGTTTATATATGAGTACGTGAATTGAAGAAACATAAAAGAACATACACCAAAAGATATATAATAGTTATTGGAGAGGGGGAAGTTAGGACATTTTAACTTTCTATTATAGAATATGAAAAGTTTCAATATATATTGATTTTATAGTTACAAGAAAAGAAGAAAAATCTAAACCAAGATACAGAAAAAAAATACATCTGGGTATAAATACTGGGGACGATTAGTAATAAGTGAAAAATTCTCACACATCCTCCCAAATTTCTCATGAACAAAATTTTACATTAATATTTGGAATGCTGTTATTTAGATGGAAAGGGAATTCATAAAATTGTCAAAAGACAGTTCTACTGGCACTAAAAACAACGTTTTTAAATCATTTAGTTGCAAAACTAAAACTAGGTATTAAAAAGTATTTTTGATTTTTTTCTCTAAAATATAAAAATGAAAACTTACATCTGAAGAGTTCCTAAAGATCAGGGGGTTAATTCAAACTTACACTGAATGCATCCATGTTAATGGCCTTCTGCGTAAATTTTACAAATTGTACTTAAGTTTAATTCCTATTTCTACTCCATTCCACATACAGTAACAATTTAAAAAACATTTCAATACAAAAACCAATAAAAATAATTTTTTCCTCTGATTTGAAAAGATATGTGCACCCCAATGTTCACAGCAGCACTATTTACAATAGTGAAGACATGGAAGCAACCTAAATGTCCATCAACAGACGGAAGGATAAAGAAGACATGGTGTGTGTGTATGTGTGTATGTGTGTGTGTGTGTGTGTGTGTGTGTGTATAAAATGGAATACCACTCAGCCATAAAAAAGAATGAAATAATGTCATTTGCAGCAACATGGATGGACCTAGAGATTACCACTAAGTGAAGTCAGAAAGAGGAAGACAAATATCATACATCATCACTTATACGTGGAATCTAAAATATGATACAAATGAACTTATTTACAGAACAGAAATGGACTCACAGACATAGAAAACAAACTTATGGTTACCAAAGGAGAAGGCAGGTGTGGATAAATTAGGTGCTTGGGATTTGCAGATACAAACTACTATATACAAAATAAACAACAAGGTCCTACTGTATGGCACAGGAAACTATATTCAGTATCTTATAATAATCTATAATGGAATCACTTTGCTGTACCAGAAACTAACACAACATTGTAAATCAACAGTACTTCAATAAAAAAATAATAAAGTTTTTCATATCTACCTTCAAAAGCAGTCTGGATTTCTCCAAGAAACTATTAAAAATGTCCATTTTCTGTAATACTCTAAATCTAATGTGTTATCTCCTTTGTAAACAGAAGGAAAAAACCCCCATTTTTCACTTTAAATGAAGATTTTATGCATTCTTATTAAAGAAAATTAAAATGTAAAAAATTACATGTACACATGCATCAAAGAATTATGGTCTAGCCCTAGTAGGCATTTTAGACTTGAATTTTTACTACTGACAGAAGCTGCTTATGAAATCTAAAGGTTGGGGCTTTTGGTTTTAGACAGAAAACTAAACATTAACTACATTACCCCTCTTTCCCATCATCCCGCTTGAATTGGCAGAAACAATATTCTAGCAAAAAGAAAAACAAAAAAAAAAGGTCTAGAGAAGAAGAAAGTATGTCAGGAAAGTATCAATAGATAAGAAATTTTGAGGAATCTTGAGAAATAGCAGTTGGGGTTATACTGACAGGAAATCACAGCCAAGGAAAAGAGAGCCCAACTCACCAGAGATAAAAGATGGAAAATTTCAGAATAAGTCATCAAATACAAAAAGCAGGAGTAGACCTTGAGAAGCACTCCTGTGGGAGAGCTTCTAATAAGGACACAGGGGTCTATTCTCAGTTTACGCATCCTATAAAAAAGCCTGCATGTACCATGCATTTATATAAAACCCTCAGTCACTGTCTGATTTAAGGGAGAAGGCCACTGGGAAAAAGAGACATACAATGCACAGGAAACCACTGTCAACTACCTTTCTTAACTGATACATAAACT